GTTCCACTAAAATTGGAAGAGTTTAGTTACTTAGATTTAGCAATACAAGTAAATTTTTTCTCAGACTCCCAAAATAGCACGAGCCCGTGTTTTCATTGTGTTTCTGTTGTGTTTTCGTTGTGTTTTCTGTGTTTCGTTTGCCAATAATCAGCCAACAGTCGGCCAACAGATATTTTGGGGAGCTGTTCTTCAATTTTACCAAACTTTGTGTCGTCAAATTTGTTGTGTAATCATACTCCCAGATGACGAGATGAACTCTGTTGACTTATCTTATCAATCCCTCATATGATTATAGATTGAATTAGACTCTACCAGGTCCTATTACCATTTAACAATTATTCGCCTCAGGTTCGGTGAATATCGTCAAATAATCCCCGAGACAAAGTTGAGGGGATTATTCGACAATATTCACCGAACCTGAGGCGAATAATTGTTTTAGTGTAATTTCAAAGCCGAATAACAGAGAAATTTCTAAAATCATAACATTAATTTTTAGTAACATTTATTAAAGTTTCATTTGAACATTTAATATAAACCGCGTGGAGCGGTTTATATAGCGTCATATAAAGAACCGCTCGACCAATCAGATTGCTGGAAACTCTTTGCTCAGCTCTGAAATTATACTAAACTTATACTAATTATAATCCTGGCATGTTACAATAGTTTCTAAAGATTTGTACAGGTGGAAGAACAGTAGGACACGTATTCCCCTACTAGGTTCATCCACCTAAATCCAACCCACCCATCCCACCCCAGGAGAGGACATCCATCACACAGTAATCTCATGCGTGGGAAATTAACGTCTCCTACCCCTAACCCTGTAGGAGACAGGACCTCCATTTATTCGTCCCTATCCGAGAAGACTAGAATATCTAACCATTTCTTGATGTTACAGAAAGGAGCATATTCTCATCAATTATTTTAAGACCTCAAGTGTTGGTCCGGGTGGGGCTCGAACCCTCGACCTCCCGCACAACAGTCCAGCGCTCTATCCATTGAGCTAACTGGGAGGCGGTTAGATACTGGGAGGCAGTTAATAATCATGTGCAGAAAATTGATCACAACACCCTCGCCCTCATCCTTCCTTTCCCCATTCCCCTCTCATCCTGTAGCTTCATACTAGCCTCCTGCTTCACTATTAAACACATAAATTCCATGTTGCTGTGATCTGGTCAGTTACAAATCACAGATGATGTCAAAATATGGCTAGAGCAACAAGGTGGCACACAAGGCACAGCCAAGCATGTCACTGATGTTTTTAAATATATAACATTCAAATGACAGTTATTGAGATCTAAAACACAGCAACATGATGGAATCTAATTGTTTTATACGGTAAAGAAAGCAATAAATTATTAATGATGACATCAACTATGCCTCTGTCCTCCAATAAATCATTTGAATGTAAGAACCAATCTACATGTGTGTTTTTTTAAGCTGAATTCATAACCCCTGACCTTTTATGTGATTGGAGGCGGGGTGGCCGAGTGGTTAGGGTGCTGGACTTGTAATCCGGTGTCCGGGGTTCAAGTCCTCGACCCTGCCACTCACTGGATTTGTTCTCGGATGCCCCTAGTTCAACTCCTCGGCTGCGCTCTGTAAATAGCCCACTGGTCTGCCTCCTGCCAGTGGGGATTTTTAAGCTCTTAGTTAGTCTACATTGTGGCTGAAAAGCCCCAAAGGGGGGGCATCAATGAATGTATATTACTATTATTATTATTTTATGGTATAACATTTGATCTTACCCTCTGCTTGTTTACGCTCCCATATCCTCACAGATGAATCTCCAGAAGCAGAAACTAGGATGGTTCTTGTAGTTCTTGAATTATCACATGCAGGAACAATAACAGCAGCCAGAGCATTAACAGCTCCCTGGTGACCTTCAAGAACAGCAGAAACTTTCCACTGTAGGCACAAAATAAGTCACTTAGTGTTAGCACTAAATTAAACCCTAAAGCCCTTTAATCCTTTAAAATCCAAGAGACTGACTTACCCATACAATATCACCCCTGAATCACACATTAACGTCACAAGAATAAAGGAAAATAAAGATCAGCAATTCCTGCACGCCAGCAGGGAATTCATAAAGCCACCATAATGTTTAGATGTCTGCACAGGCTAGCTCCAGAGTATCTGTATTCAAAGTTTACGTGGCGTGACTCTGCTTATGACCTCAGGGACTCTTAAAATAAGCTCAATGTTCCATTACTGCACTCTAATTATTACAGAAAAAGCTTTAGCTACAATGGTGCCACATTATGGAACAGTCTACCATGCGATATAAGGAACACAGAGTCTCTGGGGGTATTTAAATGTGAGATCAATGAAATTCTTTAGGTCTAATGCACGGCATTCACAGAAAACAGCTTTTAGTGTTATAGTATGCAGTTTGAATTTTAAATATCTTAGCGTATGTGATGTGTATTTTTATGGGCTGATGAATTGATTGTGTTTAAATAAAGATTACATTACATTACGTTACATTTGTAACTAAAGAAACTCTTGATTGTCCAACAAATTCTCCTTACCAGTGCCTTGGAAAATGTATATGTAAAGAGAACAGTATGGGGAATATGCATACTGATGTTAGGGAGTTCAAAGGGTTCCTCATGATAAATAGTATGAACCACAACGTGTACATGTACATTATTGTATAGATATTGATGAAATACCAGGATTTATCCTTTTACCAAAAAATCATATCTTCACTGCACGCAGTGAAGATACTATTTTTATCTTTCACATGTGAGGATATCAATGTGGCCATGGTTACCAACATAATTACCCAATTGCTGTTTTGAAAATGAATAAAAAAAGTTGTCTTTTATGTGGAAATTTCATCAGTATCTATATAATAAATAGAGGATATTACATGGCCGCACGGGGATANCCTTTGTCCTTGACATTGTATTAATAATTTAAGGAGAATTTATTCATTGGTCACTCCTGAGAGTTAGGGGCTTAATCGGAAATGTTGATGTACTGTAAGCAAACTCACCAAACCCTGGCCGCGAAATCCACCGTACACAATTCACCCTGTCTTTGTGTCCATTTAAAATATGTTCTACTCTCCCAAATGAACCACATTCAGCTGTCTATATAATTCAAACAAAACAATTATTCACCAGAGCATAAATCACCAAATTCGTGGATGCACGTGGAAAATAGAAATTCGACGTGTTATGAGTTTACAACTTTACCTTTGGACGATACAAAGCTACAGAATAACAAACACCATAAGCCAGCCAGCCATTCCTTCCCCAGTCCACACACAGGGGAGTCCTGTTACATGCAACACTGACGTATTCCAGAGAACATTTGCTACAAGAAATCGTACTTTTGTTGTCTTCGTTACTTTCGTCCGCCATGATGGTTTTGTAATCTTAGATGCAATTCCGCTGATCTACTGCGGTCGTCTTCACTCAGGATACACTTCGGGCTGAAACTATTACAAACGTGTGTGATTTCGGACACAAAAGGAAGTCCTTTTGTGTCCGAAAACACACACCGTCCTAGGACGGTCAATATTTATTGCCTGGGTATCCTGCAGAGCAGGCGTAGTTTGGGCGAGAGTGAACATGGCGTTCGGATAAACGATCACGAGCGTATAGCATCTGAACTCGCCCTACTGCAGGCTATTGCCTGGGCCAGTGGGGGCATTTGGGTTGCATCACAATTTACCTGACTCCCTCCCCCCACCCCCCTCTTACAAGCCCTTTATTATTCTAACGATATCCTCTCGTCGGCAGTCAATATTTTCTATAGTCCCCTCCTTAGACTCTCATAGAGACGTACTGACCCCCCTCAGTTCCTCCCCTGAAAAACATGTGCCTACCCCCCATGGCCAATTCCTCCGACCCCAGGTGATAGACGAAGACTTCTCCCTTACCCAGCAGACTAGAGTAACGTAACGTCGCACAGGAACTAGGATATTTTGCCTAAATTTTGCTTAGATCGGCCTGCGACGTGACTGTGATTGGAAGAATTAAAAGAAAAGACTGAAGCAAACTTCTCAAATAAATTCTCCCTCTTTCTTTCAAAGGCTCATACATTCAGGTGAACTTTGTAAATTTTTGACGTCATACCATACACAGTAAGATCCTGAGCTTTGGAACAAGACTTTAGCAGAGTCGAAAGCTCAGAATTTAAATTGATATTATTTAATGTCAGAAATTTGTGAAGTTCATGTTGATTATAAAATTCCTACGCAATTAACTGAAATATTCATTTTTGCAAACAAACCCTTTCTTCATACTAGTTTTTTGTTTTCCTGGTCTGAAATGCACCCTCTCTATCCGCCATCTGTCCGTATGCTTTTAGCCATGGATTGACACATCTGTTTGCACTGAGTTATTATCAAACATTGTTCATATCGCCCTAAACAAACAAACTCTATCTGCATTGATTCAAAAGAGCTTCTTTACAATGAAATTAAAATATCAGTGAGAAACCAGGAGACAGCAGAAAAACTAGCAACAGTATTATACAGAAGGATCCATACATGACACTTTTAACAAACTAAGTAGAGTACTGATCGCTTGATGTCGCGCGAATCGAGTTCAAATAGGAAGCGATCATATGCATGTACAGTTATTTGGAAATTTTTTCAAATGCAATAAAAACTTGAGGAAGGTATATATAATAAAGCAATTGGATGATAATTAACTCATAAGTTGTTTTGTTGTGTAGTAGCGCTGATTGCAAGTATTCGGCACAACTCGTAAAAATACTAGGCGAGTCACCTCTACACAACGAAACAGTACCTCCAACGTATTCCAGCACAAGACTTTTAGCTTACTCTAGATCTATTAAAACTAAGCTTTGTTGAATCTTTCGTTATCTTTGTGTATCCTGATGGTGTGCATTGATTATCCTGATTGGCCGAAAGAAAGACAAGATTCGTAATGGGAAACGTTATTAGTGTTTTCACTGGTGGCGCTATGAATAAGCACTGAATGCATGATTCGCTTTAAACGTCAGTCTAAGCTCAAGTGAGATAAGTGGCATGAGGGGATCACTGTGCATGAGATATATTTCTCTCTCGAGCTCGCAGACTTGAGGTTGGTATTAGACGTTTCCCAGCAGCACGGAATTCACTCCAATGTTGGGGGTTTTGTGATCGTTTAGGCTTTGTTATAAAGAAGAACCAAGCAACGTCTTAATAACAAAGCTAAACGGTCACAAAACCCTCAACATTAGAGTGAATTCCCTGCTGCTTGGAAGTGTCTACATACCAACCTTAAGTCTGCAAGAGAGAAATTTATCTCAGATTATCTTGGTGAGGCAATCAAAGAGGACCCTAAGCGTTTTTGGTCGTTTATCAAACAACTGAATGAAGACGACCCTGGCGTGGCTGACTTCAAAGTTGATGGCCTGATCATTAGTGACAGTAAGATTAAATCCGATCTTTTAACAAGAAGTTCTCCGATGTCTATACTAAAGAAGATCTTACTAGTATACCTGTTGTTGGAGATTCTCCTAAACCAACTCCTGGTTCCCTAGTTGTGACTCTCCCAGGAGTAATTAAACAACTAACATCATTGAAACCAAACAAAGCAAGCGGGCCTGATGAGATCCCCCTGGTTCCTGAAAGAATATGCTCACGAGATTGGCCCTATTTTAACAGCTATTTACCAAGCCTCTATCGATTCTGGTATTGTACCATCTAGGTGGAAATATGCCCATGTGGGCGGAGTTTATAAGAGTGGTGAGAAGTCAGATCCTCGAAGTTACAGAGCCATGTTACTAACTTGTATTGCATCTAAAGTCCTGGAGCATATTGTTTACAGCCACGTCATGAAACATCTTGATTCCCACCAGATTCTTACTGATGTACAGCTTGGTTTTAGAGCCAAACGATCAACTGTTACTCAGTCGATAACAATCGCTCACGATCTTGGACAGACCATCCAAGACAATAAATTTGTTCACGCTGCCATACTTGACTTAAGCAAAGCTTTTGACAAAGTACCGCACCAGCGTCTCCTTCATAAACTCGAGTACTATGATATCCGAGAGAATTTACTCAAGTGGTTTGAGTCATTCCTAACAGGACGCACCCAGTCAGTAGTTCCCATCATGGTGTCATCTGGTGTCCCACAGGGTAGAGTGTTAGGCCCGTTATTGTTTCTATTATACGTAAACGACTTGCCAGAGACCTTACAATCTTCTGTTATACTTTTTGCTGACGACGCTCTCATGTACGGCAGCATTTCCAGAGAGGAGGATTGTGATAAACTCCAAGCTGATTTATTTGAAATGGAGTACTGGCAAGACAGATGGCAAATGAAGTTCAATCCATCTAAGTGTAAAATAGTATGTATTTCTACTAAGAAGTCACCCCCTCTGAAGAAATACGTGTTTTGTAGATCCGAACTAGGGGAGGTTGAATCTGTATCCTATCTCGGACTCACTTTGAAAAAGAACCTAAAGTGGTCCCAGCAACACGTTTCGTCCATCTCTGGAAAGGCGAGCAAAGTTCTTGGTTTACGGTTAAAAGAAACTTTTGGAACTGCCCACGACCAAAACTGGAGTATGGTTGTGAGGCCTGCGATCCCTATTTAAAAAAGGACATTTCATCTCTCGAACGTGTGCAAAGGAAAGCAGCACGGTTTTGTTTAAACAACTACCAACCTACAGCCACTGTAACCGAGATGTTAAGCGACCTAGGATGGTCCAGCCTTGAAACATGGAGAACAATAGCCTGATTAAATGTAATCGTTATAAAATATGCCATGGCAACGTCGAGATTGACAAAAATAGTTATTTGTGCCCCTCTAAAATTTGCGGAGCCAGAACTCGTTCTAGTCATGATTACAAATTTTTGAATATAAAAGCGACAAAGAATGTATATTTTTATTCCTTCTTTCCACGCACCCTCAGGAGATGGAACAAACTTGGGATAGATATTGATGAAAGCATCTCTTTAGAGACTTTTAAAACTAAGATTTCCAAGTATTTTAACGAGAAACTTTAAACTGGTAGATATTATTTCTATTGTTGTTATTTTATACTTTTTGTATTTTTAACGTTGGTGTGATGTCTAACGACTTTACCGACGTATTTAAATGTAGATGTAGATGTAGATGTAGATAGCAGAGACTGACACACGATGACGCAACATTACAAAACAGTTCTCACAGTTTCTTACATTTTAATTTTTCTCACGATCCTGAAGATGTGATTGCATGCAGCTGGGCGAAAAGCCTAACTGGAAACAAAAGTTAAGTGACGCCATGTTGAAACCAATGGGCTTTATTTCATCTGTAATGGAAGGCGTCATATTGTCTTGCTAACAAATGGTAACAACAACTGTACATAAAATGTAAAAAGAGATTCTTTTTCACCAATGTTTCATACAGTTTCCTCTAGCTGGAAGAGTTCCAAGGTGTTCATAAATGTTGCGCTGTCAAGCGTTATGGCTGCATGATGTAAGGCTCAATTATAACCATTCATAGTAATGTCTTAAAACTTATATTACAACGAAGCTTGATTTAAAATGTTCTTCAAAGCGTATACCAAATTTGCATCCATAGGCATGTACAAAACATTTTTAGTTTTGCTGCACTGCTCGATCACATAAAGAACTGCAAGATTTACTGAAAGACTAGACTTCTTCTCAAATACATGAGTTGGGGGAAACTAATACACACAAGGCCACCCTGAATGTCTCCGGCGCAAACTTGCACGATGAAGAAAACTCAGCTGCTTAAAATCGCTACGAGCCAAATGATTTTTTCTTGGCAACGTAGAACGCCAGACTTTCGCTCATCTCACGAAGCTTATAAATTCAGTCCGCCCATAAAGTTCATGTTCCAAGAGTGTGTCTTCTGCGATAAGTTAGGATTTTTGCCAAGAAGATATTGGATAGGCGAATAGTTGAAAGGTGATCAAGAAGCTGATAGTTGCCTTAACGATAGAAAAACTAGGATTAACCGATAAAAACTGAAAAAGCTTTAGCAACAACCTCAAGCCTTTCGCAGTTGAAGGCGAGATTCTACTTAATTCTACCATAAAACTGCAAAAATCTTATCCCATTTCATAAAAAATAAAAGAAAAAAATAATTATCCTATCCACACGATCATCCAGAATTAAACAGTGCGAAGAATGTAAGGTCTCTCTGATAAGACTGAAGGCAGTGTCCATATGAGAGAAAAAAAAAAAGTTGAAAGACCTTTATCACTGAAAAAGTTCCCTGATCCTGCGAACTAGCTGAGCATAAGCTAGGTAAATTGTTACTGATATGAACAATTAATTATAATTCTAGTTAAAAGTTTATTCATCTCGTTTTATTGTCGACCCAGATATCATTTACAAATGGATAGCATAAAATGTTCCATATCTTAAACATTGTTGCCGACCGAATCGTACCCGCCTAAGTTTTAAATGCATATGTAAGAAATTTTAACAGCTTTTCAATTCTTTGAGAAATGGTTACTTATAGTTTCTGATTAAAAACTAGTCATGTAGTATTCAGTTTCTAAAAGTACCCACTTTGCGGCCTTTTGCCATGTTAATGCTTAGTTCGCAACAAGTATCTTACTAAGAATCTAATTATTAAAACACGTGTGCTTGCAGGCACCTTTCGTGCTTAAAGTAGCCATTTCAACCAATTAAATACATAATAAAACTAAAGTCGCTTTCATTTAGTTTTTTGTGAGGATTTTAATCAATGATAAAGAAAAGTTACTCGAACAAACTCCAAGAAAAGTAAATCCTACAAATTGTGGAAGAGGCAACCTTTTTCGTTGTTACAGAAACCAGTTCGCGAGAAAGGAATCCCCATCGCAAACAAAGAAAAAACAAGTGATTTATAAGTTTGTGTTTCATCTTATTGAAAATCACTATTTCGCCGAAATTTCTACTTTAAACTGGTCACGAAATTGATATCAAGCACAATGAGAAATTGACCGAGTGTTTAATTCATTACCAAAACATACCTGCGTTTTCGCAATTTGGCTTTTGATACACGTTGTAAAAATAACTTGTTTCTTAAAAGCAGCTCATCGAGGATAATTTTACGTGGAATTAATAGGTGTCGATTGCCTTTTGTTTTGGGAGAGAATGGCTCAGTTTTAAATTCAAATCGTTTGCTTAGCCGACAAATTGAGACATGCAAAATAAAAAAAAAAGACCATATTTTTCTTATGTTTGTCTCCGTCCTATTTAAAGTATTTTTGTGCGTTCATAAATCTCCCGTTAGACAATCTTCCTACTCTTGCGAAGGTAAACAGTGATCTTTTTTACCTCAAAAACGCGAAACTTATTTTTTTTAATTTAGATAAAAGTAAGACAACTTTGATTGAATAACAATTTGCGGATAACCGCTTGATTGAGGTACTTTCAAAAAAGTGGAATATTAATTTGACATCTGTCAATGAATTGTTATCAAAAGAGATGATTTAAGTCACATTCAAAAGCATAGTTATGTTCTGCCCTTGAGCAGTAACGCCAGCCTTCTTGATAATCAACTCGCTTACTGAGGCTCTCTCCTTCCAGCGCTAAAAATTTAGTTGCAAAAATGCAATCAGACTACACAACTTCAAGCCATTGGCCACCTCTCTCACAGAATTGTTGGCTGTATCCGCCGACAGCCGCTCCGTCTTACTTTCCCATGGCAGAGTTCCATCCGGACACTATCAGAGGTACGGGTCGTTATCCCGACCAGATGGTTCTGAATCCACCCGGTGATAAGCCAGCGACTCGAACAACTCATTTAAGTTCATACCGAAACTTACCCCCAAACTACCAATCCCCGACCAGTTATCTACCCTCCCATGGGAATACCTTCTACCCAGCGCGTGCTCCGATTCGTCAAGATCTTCTACCTTCTCCATCAGACGCTTACCGTATCCTCGAACTTGGAACAGCAAATACGCAATACTCCTCCTTCAATTCGTTACTGGAACGGAACACCGACTTGGCATCTAACAAAGGTTAGCCACATTTTATCCGTAGCTATCCCCATCGAAGGAAACATGTATGATACCTTTGATGCTTTTGCCAATGCTTTGTGTATAAACTCATTATCCGGCACAATTTCCCCCATACAGCCATTATGCCAGGCGAGATTAGAAAATGGATTAATTTGTGTTACCGCACGTTTGAAAAAAAACTGTGTTATAAGACCATTGCGACGGGAATAAACATACTGCTATCTATGCATAGTCGAGCTGGATCCCCAGGGAAACATTTGTTTGTCGGAAACTTCAGCAGTGCCTCAATAAAGATGACTCTCTTTATGATCATCAGACATCTACTGAAAAGGCAAACTGTTTGCGTCTCATCAAGATCATAAGTACGCATTCAAATTCATTCATTTCTTCTCTGGATAATAAAGTTATAGGAACACAAGAATTGTCCCCTATTGTTGGTGACAACTCATTATGCACTCTTAATTGGCGCTCGTTTTAGTTAGTAGGGGTTATCTCTGATCAGAGTGATCTCGAAAGCGGAAAAGAGAAACTTCTTTACTTCTATGATATTTGTCAATCAATTTATTATTATTTTTTATTTTTTCCTTAAAACTGTTTGATCCAAAGTATTTTTCCGAATATAAGTTGTTATTTTTTTCTCCTCATTTTTTCCTATTCCGTCCCACAAAAAACGTATTTATGTAAACTAACCTTGCCACAACGACTCCTTATTCGCAATTTCTAACAGAAATACTATTAGTATGTAGGGCAAACAACACAAACTGTTCATTATAACATTGTGACGTGTACCATCAAGATGAGCTATATGTTCATCAGCGGCATTACAAAATTCTAAACAGGATGAAAAAGATCGCACACCTGTTTTGATAAACATGAGTTTTCCTATCTCTTACAACACAGTGCGAATTTTAATGCGTTGCAAGAGGAAAATATTCACTCTCAGAACACTTGAGTGCCACGTAACTTGATCAGTTTTTCTATTAATTTACCAAGTTGAATTCTTCTTAGAAATCATCTCAGGGTTTTGGGCTAAAAAACAAAAGAATCCGTAATTAAAATGAGGCATACATTTTCGTCAACATAAACCATTTTTTTTCCGACACCTGGTGGTGTAATAAATATATAAAAATAAATAAAAATGCTAAACCTGTTGCTCATTAAGTGGCATTATGGAAAGATGCCTTTGAAAAATTGAACATTTATAACAAAAAATTATCAAATACTTGTGAAAAGATACTTCGTGGCTGGTATAACGTGGCGTTTCGTCTCGGCAAATAGACTCACGGCAGATACCTTTCGGAATTTTCAAGCAAAGTCGTTGAACATCACGCTCAAGGTCCCCTGTTAAGAATTCAAGATGTTTGTAGTCGGGCAGCCAATCACTCCGACATCGCAGAAGGATTAATTTCCGACCGTACCTTTATGCGGAGTAACGATCTAAACAATAGAAAAAAATTGTCAAATACTTGTGAAAGATAACCGATGGCCGGTATGAAAATGGAAGATCGTAACTATTTTTTTTCTCGCGCTGTAAACGTTGCAAATCTGTAATTTTCAAAATCGTGGAAAGGAACTGTCGACAACTCTCCCTTTTCTCAGTTGTTATACAATATTTTTTATCGTTCGCCAATTCCTTTTTAGTGTTCTAGTGATAAAGAGTATTTGAAAAATAATGTAGATTTATATAATGAAACAATTGAATCTTTTGCTAAGAGAATTCCTGTGGTGTCACGCACAACAAATCTAATTCAATATGTTAACATCTAAAGCGTTTCGGAAAAAAATTTATATCCGACATTGTTTTTTTCCAGTACTCCCCTCCACAGTAAAATCTTAACGTTTAGGTCTCGAAGATAGCACATAAAAAAAAGTTTTCCCAGTCTTGATAAGGCTTAAAATTGGAGACAAATTATGAAATTTTCAAATTATGAAAGATGTTTAATTAACTCAAATTAAGAAATATCCAAAACAAGAAAGTTTCATCTTAATTATAACTCTTCTATGTTCTACTCTGTCTGCCTGGAACCAACTGCTAGCATAGGGTTAGGGTTAAGCATTGCGTCGTTTCACGCGCTGCACAAATAGGATACCGCTAGCTTTCAAAAGCCTTTTAACTCCCAAAAGTGATTAACATGTAACGTCTCCATATAATATGCAGACATTGTCCCCAAAACAGGTAATGAGAAGATTCAAACTTATCAAGTAAAACTTTGTTATCTTGAATCAACGCTATTCTCTCATAACTAATTTACAAGGAAATGTGTTGTAGTTAAAGTAGAGAATAAAAATCAAATCTTGGGAACTTAATGGGTTACTAACTCAAAGGCCATATCCAGCAGTGAGACTTTTGTCTCTAACACATCTTTGTGAAATGAGAAAACATGAAAAATCCCAGATTTCATTTGTTTGGGAAGAACGATGTGTTGAGTTCATTTGTGAGTTAAACGTTTGATAAAAGTCGTTTGGTCTGTTCTCAAAGAGCTGGCCTTAATTAAAAGCGAAAAGTAGATCAGTTCGTGTCTCTTGTTAAAATCGTGTCATACCAGGACGCACGCGAACAAGAATACTGCAAAAAAAAAAAAAACAAAAATGCAGCCGTGCATTTAATATACATTTCTGCGGTGAAAAAGGGATTTAATTGCTTTAAAAAACTATAAATTTCTTTCTAACAGATTCCCCTCGCTTGGAAGACAGCTCTTCCCATGGGATTGACGACAAAGTAACCAGGCCTCAAAGAGGTCGCACTGTATTTTCCGCTCATCAACTGCACGAGCTCGAGAAGGTTTTCACCACCGATCAGTACATCTCTGGGCAACAGAGAAGACGCCTTTCTGCTATTCTTGGCCTGACTGAGACACAAGTGCGAGTTTGGTTCCAGAATCGGCGAATCAAATGGAGAAAGAACAGATTGGAACGAAAGATCAAAATGTAACGAGTCCCTGTGAATGGAAGTGTTTTATGGAATGAAGTGAATGACTTGGCTCGATTACCAGCGGATTAAAGGAGTACATAGATGAATGGATGAAGTTTCGCGCATAGATATTCAAAGTCGCATAGACTTGAGAAGTACCAGTTCAATGTGTCCAATGTAGGTGCGGTAAAAAGAGGAAACTTCCTTTCGATTGGAAAACTAGCTAACGTATTAGAAAATGGAAAGTTTATTAATTTAGATTACTGCTTTGTTGTTGATAATTCAGCATACATTGTAAACATGTTGAGCGATTTTTGTCATATATTACTAAGTAGACTCGACTTTGGCCCACCCACATAGATGCCATATATTTGGGGAAGATGTATAGAACGTTTCTTCTGACTTAATAAATAATTGAACGACAGTTTAGCAGATTGAAAGATTGACAGTTTGAAAAATTGAAATACTGACAGATTGACAGATTGACAGATTGACAATTAAGTTGAACGGTAGAGAGCTTGACTGATAGATACATTGGTTGATTGCCTGGAGTCCAGGCTTAAATAGTCTGTTTGTTGCATAATTGAAGAAGAAGCTTAAAAGCAGTACTTTGAATGGGCTTTTATCATATTAGATCGATAATTTATAACTAACTGGTTTACCGGTACCGATTCAGACTAAAAATGTGTGATGTGCTATTGGTTTGTTTGAGTATTTCTTGAATACATTCTGACTGAGGCAATATGTCTCTGTTGAATCAGTAGGCCAAAATATCATTTATTTCATTTGATTACTAAGGTACTGACCTAGCCAACAAAACCTCTAAGGCATGCTTCACGAAGGAGAAAACGATAAACTCAAGGAGTTATCTTCCGCCTTTTTGACTCTCTCCTGTTTTTTACGCCCGGTCGTGGGGTCTTGGGAGACTGGCACTACCAAGTCCTTCCCATCCTCCCATCCTCAGCGATGTTTAAGAGAAGACTAAGGACGAGTCAGCATTCTCAGTATCATATGGTCTGATCTTTATCTGCGCGTAAAGAAGAAAAAGCAAGTCACCATATCGATGTTAAAACTCCTACTTCCAGCATATAAACATAACAGGATCATTAGTTTAAGAGAAGCATGCCCATGACGGTTGGCGGTTCAAAAAATTATTTAGTCCCAGATCCTACGGTCAAGAGCCTAGATCCTCGGTTTTTTTGTACCTTTGTTCCCTTTAAGCTACCGCGAGAGGACTTGATAAAAAGAGAAAACAAAAAAAAAACAAAAAAAAGTCTTTTTATAGGATTACACAATTACTGGTGAACCAGTAGTTTCCATTGTGGTCCTTGCAAAGAAATGAAACAAATGGTCTAAATTGAACATAACATCATGAAGAACATCATTAAGAACCCCAACCGGCCGTAGGCAAACCAGTTGGCTATTTACAAGCGTGGCCAAGGATCTGAACTCGGGGCTACCGTGAAACAGATCCAGTGGTCAGGGTGGGACTCGAACCCGGGAGCGGCGGATTACTAGTCCAACACTCTAACCACTCAGCCACACTGCCTCAAATTGTCTCAATCTGCCTCAAACTGCCTCAAACTGTCAAAAGGCGACTTATCTTTGGCTAATATCACGCAGGGAAATTATATTCTAGTTATCAAGTTACGCTGATTACTCTTCATTGCGAAATTTTCGACTCTGTTAGCGAATGGGTGCGATCCCGAAGCATTATTCTTGTGTGTGTGTATTGTTAACAGGGTGATTCGATCTTCAAATTTGTGTGCATTTTTTTTTAACTTAAATGAATTGATTTAGCCTTGAATTTACATTTAAAAGGGTGTAATGTTTGGATAGTAAAAAAACCACCATTAAAGGATTATCTTAATCGAACAGAAGGAAAGCTGGTGGTTTCATTGTGCAAGTTTTGCCATGAGACGCTACATTGAACTGGCTGACCAAATCGATAAATTTCTTGAGAAAATTTCCTAATTATCAGAAACGTCTTAACGGATCAGTTATTCCTTAACTTTAATTGTCCGAAATTTTATGATGGAAAAGTACCAAGCCAAAAAGAACTGCTACTTTTTCAACCTAACCCGTGTGATCAGTTCACGTCTAACAGAATATTCCATTTGTTTACAAAAAGACATTTTTGTATTTTCGTTATTTTGTTAAACAGATGCTCTGCCCCTATAAGCAAGTTCATTCTGGTTAAAACAATTTCTTTATGCATGATGTATGACATAAATATGTTTTAACGCAAGATATCTTAAAGCACAAGTAAGCTTTTGTCAACGTTTCAAAACAATCATTCAATTTTTTCTTTCGGCAATTCCACCGCCGACCCTCTAAAAATGATCCTTCTAGCAGAATTCTTTAAATCTAATTATTATAATTATTCCTCGGTCGGTAAACATAGGACTCAGTTGTACAAAGGTTCCCTGACATTTAGCACATTACAATGGAATGCATTGGTTTTTGTCACGAGATAGCGTGCGAGTTTCCAAGTTAAGTGGTCTTAGACAGAGAGACATTTGCACCTCACCGACAAGAATAAAGAAACACTCAAGCTTTTTTTTAAATTGCATAAAATAGATGTGAATACCTCTAATTTTCTATTCCTACATGTGAACATCCGTTCTATGACTGAATGATTCTTTCCTTGTTCTCCAAAAAATACCTTCCACATCTATTATCCTTGTAGACATAAAAACGTGTTCAAATTAAAAATAAATCAAGCATAAAGCTCATCTTCTGCTCGAGAAAATAAAACGAAACATGTCGAGTGTTTTAGATTATTCATTTAAGATTATTTTGGATATTTATTTGCTCAATTGATTACTTCATATTTCAACCACGACGAACATATTATTTTGTGAGACGCATATCATCTTGCTAATTTATGGCGAATCTCTGCGAAGCAAATAGGCAAAGTGGTCTAATCAAATAGCATTCGACCATGTAAAGGGGTTTAAATAACACGATCTCCGATTCTTTCCATTAAATTTTTCTCCTTTCCTTTATTAGTTTTTTCGAAAACTGTTTTTTTTTTATTGATATTTTTTCCAGTGGATCAAAACACGTGCTCATTTGCTTAGAGTACGTGCTCAGAATATCAAAGTTGGCTTAGTCTAAATCACGAGTTTCAAAAGAAGCCGGTTATACAGGTGGACTACGTATCGCCACTGGTCTTTTTAGCCTCTCACAAGCTCTCGTGTTTGGGTTTCGCGTTACAGCACAGCACCATAGAGATCTAGAGCCGCTCATCGATAAAGCTATTGGCGCAAACCCCTACTTAACATGTTCCTGTTTTGTCATTTTCATGCATGTATTTATTTGGCTTCCAAATCTTATTCAGAACACGCTCACCCGAACGAATGAAGAATTTGGCTTAATTATTCTCTTTGTGTTGATGAAAAGAAGTGATTGTTCGGTTATTTTATATCAGCTATTATAAGAGAGAGAGAGAGTTTGCTGTTCGTGTAGAGTATTATTCTTTTAAAATAATCACCGTTATTTACACCCACAGTCGCAAAAGTGTTCAATAACCATTACAAACCATCGGAAAATATTGCAACAAAGAAGGTCGTAAACTCAGTGGCATAATTAATCAAAAATCAAGCTGGAAAATTAATAGGTCCTCAGCATGTCTACGTCGGAAACCATTTCACCCTTAATGACCTCGCAAGCAAGGTGTTTGACAGGAAACTCGTATTTCCATAAAAATACCTACAAGGAAACAACAGATTCTTAAAAATTCTCGTTAAAACAAGGCTTGGGGGTAAATTTTATCATGAACAAGGGCTATTGTCGTAAAAGCTAAAAATTGTTAAACAGAGCTAGATGAATCACTAGACTTTGTTTTGGTTCAGCTTTTGATCGAGAATGAATATTGCGGTTATGTTAACTTAAACCAACCGATAATGCATTTCGTATCATGTTAAGTTATTCAAGACTTGCTGTATGTTGTAGGTGGAGTCTTAACGGCATTTATGAGCCATAAATTTCATAAAGCGATAAAAATCTATAAATGTTCGGAAGCAGCGCCTTGTTCGACCAACTCGATAAATTGTCGACTTTAACCTTTAAGAGAACAATAAAAACAAAATGGCCACTGATCAATGTGGAGTTCAGTTACTATTTTCTCGCTCGATTTAATATTTCCTTTTCGTCTTTTGTGGTCGGTAAAAGAGATTTTTTAACACGCAAATGGCCGCAAACTTCCTCACTTTCCAAGACGTGTTTGTTTAAACAAACTTTTATTTCATTATTAAAGCAATTAGCAGGTAAACCTAATGTTGCGATAAGCCCATACGAAGCTCATTTACACATTTCAGAAAACATCTATTATGTTTTTGTGCACTCTTGGTACGTCAGAACAAAGTTATCATTTGACAACAAATTAAAATATACTGGAGAACAGAATTGAAAACATTGACATTGACTAAACTTAAGGATAAGATGGTAAATAATGATTGTGCTGGAGATCCGAAACAAAGAATTCTAATGTCGCTTTAAGCGTCCTTAGTTATTACGTTATTTCGTTGCTAGACAATGGAAAAGATGCAGGTAAAAATGCGGTTTAGAATTGAAGAACAAGAAGTCATAATGTGTCTTTTATCTCAGTCATCATCGGCAAGTTCTGGCGGATCACGGACACAGCACAAGCTAACAGAGAGCACGCTACTCGCATTACCCCACGATAGAAAAGCATGCAAACCGACGAGCGATCACCTGCACTGAAAGCAGACACCGACAACATATTCCCTTGCCCATGCAGTGCCTGTGTTTCAAGGAAAGATTTTAGCAGTGAGGCAGCTCTACTGGCGCATCCCAGAGAGACAATGTCGAGGCATCACCGATTAATAGGCTTTGCTGGTCCACCGATTCCTATGTTACCTTATTCTCAAATCCCGAGTTCTCCAGCCCGCCTTTTGATGCCGTATGGATTACACAGAGCGCCATATCAAAGAGCCTTGTTTGCCTCAGACACCCGTTACAGATCGGGAGGTGTGCAAGAAATTCCCAAACAAGAAGCCTTTCGAGAAAGCCATCTCATTCAGACTGAATCCTTAACGCCAAATCACGATGCTTCTCGGAGATACTGGGATCGACCTAACCGTAAGTATATCAATGCTTTAATTTCTTCCTTTTTAAAGTTCTTCGAATCAAAATTTAGGATACAAAACAGTCAAAACAATACAGTATAAAAACAATTCTACATCCATTGAAAAGGTGCTTTTAATGAAAAGGTGATTAAAGTCACGCACTTTACAAACCACTATTTCTTTGGCTTTGCCGCATGCCCTTAGCCTTGAATATAATTTTTTCTTCTTATCCCCAAGCGCATGAGAAAATTCTCATGGAGAAAACAAACTTATAATTGGTTAGACGAAAATCGATTAAGGATTAGTGCGGTTGGGTGTATAAACACCGAATAATGCCCATTATTAGAAATGAAAAGCTTCCCAGTTTCGGAAATAATTATTGAATTAAAGTATTTTGTAGTCGCGACATTTAGAGAAAAATGAACTTTCAGTTGCAATATTTTTCGGGAGACACTGTTTTAACATCTAATTGATCGCTTCACATCATCTAGTTAGTAGTTGTTTTTAAATTATAGTGTCCTAATTCCTAAACAACGATGTTACTTTCATATTGACTAAATTCTGTGCTACAATTAAAAATATTAGCAACTGCTAAATTGCGTGTCAAGTAATTAGAATTTTATGCTAAGTAAGTGTAATATTTGAAGAGATGGCCCTGATGTAGATGAAAATTGTTTGAATGGTTTCGCGAAAGACACTTATGCGAGCATAGTAAAGTCACGCTACAAGCAGATTCTTTTTTTCGAAGAAAACAAAAAAAAATTAGAGGTAGAAGAAGAAAAACCTTTTTTTCTTTTTCTTTTCATACTCAGGACGCGGGCATAGAATATGAAGTAGCTTAAAAGAAAAAAACCTTTCACGGCAGGTTTAGTATTCTTATTTGTCAAAGCTTGAATTATTCCGGCCTAGTTCCTCTGTATTATCAAACACTACCTATATATTAAGTGGATCACGATCCTCTGCAATTTTTTCGGTCTACAAATGCAACACCCATTTCAAAGTGAAGTCGAATTTTTCCGCGAAATTTATGCCTACGGAGAGGGAGTGAAAAGGTTTTATTCGCGTAATGTTGGATTCATTTACCTCTTCGAAATACTTAACCGCCAAATTTACAAGCTACTCGCAAAAATTCAAAACTTTGAAAATTTAAAAACATTTTATTTGAGCATTTGTTTTTTTGGCAATATTTATTACGTTTTTACCATTTTTTAGATATAGGTCCGCACGAGAAATCACGCCGAATGCGCACCGTGTTCTCTCCACAACAGCTCGACAGATTGGAAAGACATTTCAAGAATCAGCAGTACGTTGGAAGTGCCCAGCGGATTTACATCGCATCGCAACTCGGTCTTTCGGAAACCCAAGTCAAAGTTTGGTTTCAAAATCGGCGAATAAGGTGGAGGAAGGCAGCGCTTAGTGGCCCAAAAGAAACTTCCACAGAAGATCAAGAGTCCTAAATGCAATTTGAAATCTTTAACCAGCTCAATATTGCTTACGTGTGCACTGGAGGCTTTAAATTTTGTGAGAGGAACTCTTAACCCTTTCCTACTATACCATTATCAACACACTGTAATTTTTCGAATGAGCGCCTTGGTGATTTTTCAAAATTTTGGCTAAAAGAATGGGCGGTAATTGGAAAGTGGGCGCTTAATCGAGGGGTGGCGCTTATCATTCTCCTATACTGATTCCGCCGAGTTGAAGCATAAAGAGTGGCATTTCAAATAGGGTCTCGCATGGTTAAAATATTAGGGACCTTAAGCAGTCAGGACGGCAACGCCAAGGAAGATTTCGATTAAAAAATGAATTTCTACTCTTAGTTAGAATTTTAAAAATGGCTGCAGGAGCTTACTGTCTCATACGACGCCACAGCTCAACTTCAGCATGACGTATAAAAGCAGCGTTGAGTTCCAAATGGAAATTAAAATAATTTGCCGTCGCGGTTTCGGTTCGCAGACGACGCAAATTTTGGCGATTTCACGTTGTTGTTTTGCATAGGACGGCTAAGAAATTTACAAAGTTTCAAAATGCACGTGCTGGGCTATTGTTCTGCCAGTCAGATCTCTTGTTTTTCCACGTCCTCGTTGCCGTCGCCGTCGTGGTTGCTTAAGGTCCCTAATAATAATGTTAGCCGTAGGACGGGAAAAAAAATGTAGACGTTAGACGTTAGAATTGATAACTTTTAACCGTAAGCCGTAATAAGGTTGTAAATTATTGTAAATTAAAGAAACTAATCGTTAAAGTCATACCTAATTAAGACCCTCCAGAAGCAGGTGTTTCTTGTATCCCTACTATTTAAGAAAGTGAGGGAAGAAGGGGACGCTTATTTGGATTAGTTTGACAATATGGCCTTGGGGGTGAGAGCTTCTTAGAGCGTGGGCGCTTCTTCGAGGAAATAAGGTAATTGTTCTTTAAAAGAGAGTTTGACGATGGATCTTTTTAAGGTATTAAGGTTTTAAGATCCATAGTAAGTACGCAGGAGTTTTATATAAATTGATTGCAAAATTAAAATAAGGCAAGTGATTTGATAAACGTGTCTATTTGAGTAAAAGACGCAAAAATCCGAACGCTTAAAAAAGTTTGCAGTCTTAATGATTTCTGAAGAAACGTGATGTATATATGACCAATAGAAAAAAACCATCATTAATAGTTTGATAAGTTAATTAAACTTAAATTTTGTTCACGCACTTGTGCAAGTTAAACCCAGTAGCATTTAAGCCTAACCACCAAGTTTCTTGATAAGCGCAAGTATTTCTGTAATTTAAACCGTTTAATCACTAGGAGCACTAGCATCCAATTTTGTCCGTGGAATATCACTCCCGCATTGAAAATTAGGGTCAGACGAATAAAGGAAATGATCCCCTAATTGAGAAGCTCTTGATTGTCAAGCAATTTCTCCATGTCAGCATCTTAGGAAAAGTATAGATAACAGTATAGAGAATCTGCACAGTCGTGATGGGATGTAAGGCGTTAAAACGAAATCAAGCAACATACTGTTTTGCTATTACTATTTGAAAGCGATCAAGCGTTTGGGTTTGTACTATTACACCTGACTAGTTTCACATTTCACCCAGCGTTTTCGCCAAATCTAAATGTTTAGTTCAAGATAAATAGTTTGCGAGGAATTCTGTATCATTTGCTGACTTCTTTCTTCCTCCTTTAAAACTATATGCATCCAGTTCAGATAACTGTTGGTTAGTTGAGGATGTTCAAGATAATCACGTGTGGATCATTGCTTTTTGTGCGTTTTGGAGCGCTTATAAACCAGAACCAACATTCGAGGCGTTTTACGATTGAGTGTCGCAGAACCAAAACCACAGTAACCGCAGCAGCCAATCAGAATAAATTAAGGAAAACACCTTTAAGAGCCAATTTTATGAGGAGAACCTAAAGTAAAAACAGCCAATTTGCCTCAAGGGTCCTAGAGCGCGGGAAAACACGGGCAGCCCAGCGACTGATCGGTTATTTTAGGGCTGTGGGGCGAGTTATCTGGACCAATCACAAAGCACAATAAGGCAAAGCCAATACAAGCGTTGTCAAGAGAGATCTGCAAGGCCGGCTGTCTTTTTTTTTTTTTTCTTTTCATATTTTAACCTTCAGCGCACGAGAAACATTTTATTCTTTTGATGGAAATTAAAATTAGAGTTGCATGATGAACTACCCTTACTGCCTCTTTCTGATATGAATTGGTGAATATCAAAATCCTAACCGTCCTTCGGAAATGATTCGTCTTGATGCAGTGTTAAGAAATCCTTTTGTTAGAGAAGATTCAGTCTCTTTACTTTACTGACGCCATGCCAATAAAATTTTTAAGAGCTGCCTCAAATGAAATTTAAAAATTATACGAAAGATACTTACCTTGAAGTACAATTATAATTCTCTGAAGATTTGTGGAGCATTTTGGATAATTATGCATACTTCCTTAGCAACTAACTGGTCAGCGGTCACATTTTAAATCCATTAAAATGCAAATTACCTCCCGGTTCTATAACACTCAGAAAGGACCAGTTCATCCTGGAGTGAGAAATTGGCGAAGGTCCCCTGAAAAGGGCGAGGGACAATACAGGGAGGGAAGCATTATCCCATACTGCTCCACATCTTTATTTATTTAATCACTTTCACCAGAGTGTGGTGAGGGTCGCACAACAGAGCGAGGCTCCAAATTAAGTGCGCCCAATATCCCACCCATCCCACTCCAGGGAAGGACATCCATCACACAGTAATCTCGTGTGTGGGAAATTAACATCTCCTACCCCAACCCTGCAGGAGACGGGACCTCCATTTATTCGTCCCTATCCGAGAAGACTAGAATATCTAACCATTTCTTGATGTTATATAGAAAGGTAGCAAATTCTTCTCAATTATTTTAAGACCCCGAGTGTTGGTCCGGCCGGAGCTCGAACCCTCGACCTCCCGCAAAACAGTCCAGCGCTCTATCCATCTTCAGAGAATTACAATTATACTTTAAGGTAAGTGCCTTTCGTCTAATTTTTAAATTCTCTTTCCATATGCTCCATATTATGGGATAATTATGCGATTTCAAAAAACCGAAGCTAATTTAAACATGATGTAGCAACAATAGTTTAGTGCGTAAAGTTACTCAAGGACAATGCATCCGTTAAGATAGTATTTACAAAAAAACGCGTTCATTTGTCCACTCAGCAGCACGTAGAATCCATAAGACTGGAACACCCTTAACATATGCATTGGTTACAGAAGCACCTCGAACACTGTGTGCCCTAGAAATAGATGTGTCAATGCCAGCACTTGAAAAAACCGTTGTAACCCGTCTGGCTATAGTAGCAGTGGAGACTGGCTTGTGAGGCCTAATAAATGAAACGAACAGCTTAGAGTCTGTACGAGACCTAATATCTTTCTTTTTCGTACATACGGATGTGATTGAATAAATCTTTATTTCAAAGGTTTCTGGATTAAGTCATCTCTAATTCCTGCCTTTCTCCCCAGCGCTTACTAATGGTTGATAAACTTATCGGGTGGAACAATTGATATTATACATGTGTCCTCAGATATCGAACAATTTCTTGCACATGATAAGTATAATTTGAATTTCCCGCGCCATTTTGATTACCGCAATCACACCCTCTTTGTACAGCGGTTGCACGCATGCGTACGCAAAATGCCCTCCTGTTCTTTCAGGCTGAATTGCAATGCTTATCAGTCCCAGTGGACCATGATGCTGCAATAATCTTGACTGCTTGATCTGAAAGGCCTCTGCCTCTGCGTGACCTCCGGATAAGGTCCATGCGGCAGGTGTTGAGGTGCAGGTTGTCTATCAAGGGGTGTACCTCCAGACTGTGGGGAAGGGTCACAAGATTCTTTTCGCGAATTTCCCATGACTTCACAATTCTTTTGTTTTGTTTTGTTTTGTTTTTTCCTAGAACAGACAGAGAAAATGAAACCAAAAAAATCCAGTTTCTCTTATTACACTACCTGCGCAATTACAAGTATACCAAATAAATTGATTTCCTCGGGCTGTGTGAATAGTTGTGGGGATTATTAAGCAGTACTGCTGATCATGACAATAAGCAATTACAACTGAAGTAAACTGACAAGAATACTTTTTCAGAAAAATATTTCATTAGATGACAAATGGGGCCTAGGAAAATACTAGAAAAACAAAAAACTAATTATAACGAAAGTTCCTAAAGTGACATTAAAATAAAAATTGTTTATTATTGTAGAAGGATTTGGACGTTGTGGTGCATTAGTGCGTTGTGGTGCATTAGTGCGTTGTGGTGCATTAGTGCGGTGTTGTGCGTAACTATAATAGGGAGCTTTAGCAACGACGACGGCGACGGCAACGAAAACGTCGTGTCGAAATCTAACTTTTCGTTTTTGTAACTCTTTCGAGGTTATTCCGATGTGTTTCACTTGGAAAATGCTGGCAAACTGTTCAGGCACTATATCACTACGAACGGCGTTAAAGTAAGGAGAAAGAAAGAAATATTAAGCGTCATGCGCTCACTTTCTCGAGAAAACCTAAAGTTTGGTTATTTCACGTTGTTGTTTTGCCGAGAACGGCAAAGAAATGTACCAAAATGTTAAACGCACGTGCAGGGCGATTGTTTTTGTTCATTAAGCCTATTGTTTTCTGCCGTTCTCGTTGCCGTCGCCATCGTCGCTGCTAAAGCTCCCTAATATGGTGTGCGTGGACGCTGTTGCGGTCGATTTGGACAATGGGCCCGGTCAGTGTCCCATACCCCCACACCTGTGGCAGCGTTGTGGCGCGGAGGAGCACTGGGCCATGAAGTGTTCACTACCCTGGCACTGGTGGCAACGAGATGCTATTGATGATGATGATCAAACAAAAGTTATTAGCAAATCATTATTGATGACATGATGATTTGATGAAAGGCTCTTAGTACTGACGGTTGGTTGACAGGCAATCTCTGAGAACACCTGTTGACCTCCCATTTCTTCCTCCTCTCCTCTCCTCTCCTCTCCAGCCGTTCCCTCCTCCTACTCCTGACCCTCCTTTGTACTTCTACATCCCCTCTCTTTTCCCGATGTTGTGGTACATTTTACCGAGTCGGGGAACAGAATTCAAACTAGCGACGCCAGTTTTTGCAGGGAACTCAAGGACTGCAGGGTAAGGTCAATACCAAGCTGGTTTTTCAATTCGTCAGCGTCCACGTCGACGCTCTCGTCTTTGAAGGTGTCGACGAACAAACTCTTTCGTAACTACGGTTGGTTCAACCGCTAAAGAGTCACTGGGCTGGTTCTCCTTTACAAAGTTCTCTGCCTTCGAGGTCATTTCGAAAAATTTGTGCCGGCCGCGTGCGAGGTGTTATTGAACCAGCAAGCGCCAAAATAGCAACCGACGAATTTCGTAGTTGAAATGCTAACTCTGTGAACGGAGATATAACTGATAAGTGAAGAGGACAGCAGTAGCTGAACAAAATACAAAGAACACCAAGATACTTGAATGTACAGAATGCAAGTGTCACACTGACCTGGTAGCACGAAAAGGAAGAACTTGTTGTTTGTGTCCTTTCTGGGTGCTATAAACCGGGAGGTAATTTGCATTTAAATGGCTTTGAAGTATGACCGCTGACTGGTTAGTCGCTTAGGAAGTATGCATAATTATCCCATAATGTGGAGCATATCAAAAGAGAATTCTCTTAGCTCCAAATAATGCTCAGTGGTGTCGCATTTTCAGACATGCAGAGCTGATATTACTAACGATGTCTCAGTCACATAGGGTACGAGCTGAACAAAATTGCAATGACAATATTTTTACTTGAAAGAACGTTAAAAGTTAGTTCAATTCCAGGTTTAGTTTAGTCCTAGTTTAGTAGCCTGTTCTTCATTCATTCCATATTATTGAAACAAGAAATAAAATTTCTGTGCTGGAAGTAAATATTATCAAATTCAAACATACTGGGAATGAAAACGAAAACCGAGGTGTAGTTCAGTTGATGAATTTGTAAGTGAACAAAGGAATTGGCCGCCGCGACGTAAAAACAACACTTTTAAAAATTATCCATTGAAATGGATCGTCGGTGTTTTAGAAACAAGAAAAAATTTACTCAGAGTGGGAACACTGCACTTTTTTCCACATGTTATATAATATCTCTGTCAATAGAGAAGATCCTTTTCAAAATCTCTTTAACATATGTATGTAATTTTAATCGTACAAAGGAAACTCATTATTCTTATAATCAATCCTATTTTTCTAATTATACTCTGAGCTTCTACCAACGGATTGTGACACAACTGAATCACTTTTGCTTCTGGTATAATATAGAATTTATCGATTATTTTTCCTAGGAGAGGGTTTGTTTGGAGGGATTTTTCCGCCATAACTTCCTCAAAATCCGCTTATTATCTGTCATAATCTTTGAGATCTATACTTCTTGTAGTATCAATCTATTTCCACTTGAAACAAGACAAGATGTTTGTTTTAAATGGACGGCGGTTTTATATGCGACCTTACATATTAACCGACAAATGGATTCTTTGTATGTATAACTCACTAATTTGTATCCCGCATGATAATCCTTAAAAAGATTTGGTCGCTTCTTGTTTTGCCAGTCTAACAGTCCACCGATCAAAGGGGAGCTGAGACCGTTTTCCAGTGACGAATTTTCCCCTTATTGATCCGAGTACCATATCTTGCTACTTTTCTCTGACACGAGCGAAAGGCTCTATTACTTTCTGTGAAGTTCAAGGTAATGAATGGTAGTTACGTAGTTATTTTCTTCGGGACATGATATATATAATATCCATGTTCAACCTTCCACAGTTATCTGTACAAAATGAAAAAAAAAATCAAAAGAACGTGTTAGTCCTTAAATCTGAAAGAATCTTTCCCGAAATAACAGTTTGTATAAGATACTTTATTTTGGTTTACTTACTTTTTTTGACTCAGCTGCAATCCCTTTGGCAATTAATTTTCAGTAAAGAAGCACTTTACCTTTACTTAGCTCTAGGGTATAGCTTTTTCAGTGTATGCGATAATTTGCACTGCACAGACTGTGAAAAATTTCAGCGCTTGCAAATTTTAGGTTAGCCTTTGGCACGTGATTTCAAGTACTCTCAAACTTTTGACCAGAAAGCCGAAAAATTCAAAATCATATGAAAAGATTTACATATATTCTCAGAAAGTTTAAATTTTGCATGGAAAAGAATTTTATGTGAAAAAATAACATTCCGTTGAATTGCGAGCCTCACACAAAGTGCTAAGTAGTGGGAAAACTCAAATTATGGTTATTTCAGAAGAACAAAGAGGTGATTATTGAAGACAGAGATATTCTATGCCAAGGCCTTACGGAAATCTATATTCATAATGAATGATAAAAAACATCTATTCATAAACAGGAATTTTGATATATTTTAAGTTGATTAAGTTTTTTCGAAAGCTTTTATTTAAATACTCTTGACCATTAGTTTTTTTTTATTAATTTCATTTTTTTCAAACAGCAAATGATACGCATCAGACAGATAAATTATCTTTTGCAAAGTTAGTTGCAATATAGCAAGGTACGTCTACATGAAAAGGAAAAAGGATACATTTCTTTGCGCTGTACATGCAATTAATTTTAAAACTAAGTTACTTTTCCGGTACACTCAGCATTGGCCGAGAAAAAGCGTGGGCAGTGCAAAAAAAATAGCATTTTTGTGGCATCAAAGTGTAATTCAAAATGTGAGAATTTCAGATGATAAGACTATTCGTTTCGTGAAGATGAAATTTTAAAAGTAAGCTTATAACACAAAATATTAATAAATTGAAGACAAACAGATAAGAAAATTTATCATCTAGTGACAATGGTGTCATTTAGCAGAGGAAACGAAATGCTATTTAACCGACTGGATATCAAATCATTGAGAGCATTTGAGGGGTAATTTAAGAGCTTTTTTGTATTGAGAGCATACAGGATGGTGCCTGATGATATCTCTGTAAGTCTGACCCTTGTATTAAGATTTTCCGTGAACCATTGCAAGATAGCGATTATAAGCTGTCACGTTTCGAGAGCACCTAAGATCACTGGACTTAATACCACTGTACACGATGTAATGCCTCGTGGACTCTAACTAAAAAAAGGCAATAGAAGGATGTCATCCGGGCGAAATAAAACCTTTTCGAGGACTTACACGGCTATATATTCTATCGACACGGTTTTACTTGTATTTACTAAGGCTTTTGAATCCTTCAAAGATATTCAGTTCAACTAAAGAATTCTCACCCCCTGCCCAGGGCGATAGTTCATTCTGCCATTCGCCCTAGAACGCAAGATGCTATGGTCACACTAAGAAAAAACGCTTTAGTTTTAGAACATAACCAGAGATACTATCAAAGAAATGATAATAAACTGATTTATGCAGGAATTAGAGAGGAAAGAAGGAAAAGTTCATATAGAAATTGAGCTGATTGCGTCGATAATGAACAGAACAGTGCACGCACATGTAAGCTGCGATAAAAAGACCGTTTAATAATTTGGGCCATTTCAATTCTAAGTGGTAATTTGGCAACATTTCCTGAAACAAACAGTCCTATTCACGCACAACTGAATAAGTCTGATAGCCAAAGGTTTGGTGTTCATCTCAATTTTAGAAAAATGTATTTACGATTTTTATCCGAAAGTTTCATGATTGCAAAAGGAAATGAAAGTCTTTTTTTTTTTTATGCATTAACACATTTTACGATTCCAGTTCCGTTGTTTGCTTATTCAGTGTCTGCTCTTAGATCTTGCATCAATTCCACAGACAAAAAAAAAAAACGGCAAGGGCTACGATGGCCGTTTTTCATAATGGTAAGTTTGATGATTTAGAAATTAAGGAAACAAAAAAAAAAGGCTAGGAAGTTAGTAACCATGGTAACATGTTATGATCTAGCTATGTCGTTTTAAATTCTGGTAGTACAAAATTACTTTAAGTGGATTAATGATGACTACTCTGCCTTCGAAAAATACAGAAAAAATATTCATCAAAAGCAACTTAGGAGAGAGAATATTAACTTGGAATGCAACGAAGAAGTGAGCCGTTAAGAAAAGAAAATGGTAAGTCATTGTAGAAACGGAGACGAAACGAATTACCGCTGTACCGGTCTGTTTTATTGAGTGCAGCTTTGAAATCAATCATGAAGTCCTTTCTTCAGAATGCAGCATCTGCCAAATCCCACAAAAAAACATATATAGTTAAAGATAAACCGTTTCTTTACCAGGTTCTAATGGAATCGTTGGTAATGACAGCGACCTGCCAAAATCTCCAATTTCCCTGAAACTTCAAATTGGCATGACGTTTGCCTATGTCATTATCTTCATCGTCTCCCTGGTAGGAAACGCTCTTATGATTTACGTCATACACAAGACACCTCGCCTCAGAACCACGACGAACCTATTGGTGGCCAATATGGCTGTGGCTGACTTACTTATCACCTTTTTTGCCATGCCGTCATCCGTTATGTACTTGTACCTACAGCACCTTTGGTTATCTGGGGTGATCGGTGATATTACCTGCAAGGTCGTGCAATATGGCTTGACATTGTCAATCGCTGCATCTATTCTCACACACGTACTGATCGCCATCGACCGTTTCATCTGCGTTGTACTTCCTTTCAAACGCGTCGAGTTCTTCAAGAAAATCAGAACGAGCTACGCATTGACCTGGTTTGCGTCCCTTGTTCTAATGAGTCCATATCTGATTGTTTACGAAAGTTTAAAGCTCCCAAACGGTGAGAGCCAATGCAATGTGAGCCTTAAATATCTGTACTTTCTTGAGTTTTATTATGTCCTGGTGTTTGTAATGCTCTATGTGATTCCATTACTGTTCATTGCAACACTGTACACGTGCATCTGCCGAAAGCTATGGAGACATAAAATACCAGGAATACGTTCCCCAGACCTCATTCTAAAGAGAGAAATCCATAACAAGAACACCATCAGAATGCTTATAATTTTGGTGATAGCGTTTACATTGTTTTGGCTGCCAGTTCACATCATACATCTACTGACATACTTTCGGTCCGAATTACATTTACCTCATGTGGCTTTACTTTTGCCCTTCTGGGCGTGTCACTCCCACAGCGCCATCAATCCCTTACTAGTTGCATTTCTTAGTGGAATGTACAGAAAAGGATGTCAAGAGACAGTCACCAAGAAATTGGCCAGCTTATCAATCAAAAGGAGTGCAGGAACAAATATAGTTTTAACTTCGCAAATGAAAACTCAAATATCTCGTGCCCCATCGCCACTCCTCCCACCTGTCAAGCCTGGTGACGAGCACCTAGGATGACTATGACCGGAAATACACACGGACGTTCCAGTTACCCCTCCCCCTCCCCCCATAAATGTATTAGAGAAGTGGGGTGAGTGGAACCCTGAGTTTTCACTACATCTGCGTTGGAACCTTTAGCTGTAAATAATGTAACTTTTGATCGATTAGGTAAAGGGTATGACGCCTCCGACAGCATAGCCTCAAAGACGATAGCCTCCAAAATAGCTGCCAAAGTGGTCCAATAGATAAGTGCAAGGATGGCTGTCAAGATAGCTGCCAAGATGGCCGCTAAGACATACTAAAAATGCCTCCACCATGCGCGCGTTTAAGAATGGATTAATTAACTGATAACAGTAAATAAATCGTCTAAACGAATCTTAAAGCTAAAACTTCTCAAACTGTGGCCAGTTAGCACTTAGTCTGAGCGTAATTTTGAGAAATGTTCTTAAATCTTGTCACACTAATTCTTGCGAATGTTTATCTATGTTTGAATCTATGTTTAGATACTACAGACTAACTTCTAGATTTCCGATTTTGACCAATAGTGACCGTTTTTGCGATTTTTGCCACTAGAGGCCACAAGAGAAAAACGGCCACTAGTCGCCAAAATCAAAAATCGGAAACTAGTGGCTAAAATGGCAAAATCATCATTAGTGGCCAAGATGCCAAAACGGCCCTTAGTAGCCAAACTAGCAAAAAGACTACCAGTGGCAAAATGCCAAAACAGCCACTGATGACCAAAGAGGCCAAACAGCCACTATTGGCCAAAATGGCAAAAACGCCCCTGGTAGCTAAAATCGCAATTTGGCCACTAGTAGCCAAAATGGCAAGTCGGCCACTAATGACGGCTAAACAAGCAAAACAGCCACAGGTGGCCAGAATGGCAAAACGGCCACCAGTGGCCACAAGGGCAAAACTGCCAGTAGTGGCCAAAATGGCAAAACAGCCATTAGTGGCCAAACTAGCAAAACAACCACAAGTGGCTAGAAAGGCAAATCGGCCGTTAGTGGCCAGAATGGCAAAACGGCCACTAGTGGCCACAATGGCAAAATTGCCACTAGTGGCCAAAATCTCAAATCGGCCACTGGTGGCCAAAAGGGCAAAACGGCAACTAGTGGCCCAAATGGCAAAAAAACCTCAGGTGGCCAGAATGCAAAACAGCCACAAGTGGCCAGAAAATAATGGCAAAACGGCCACTACTGGCCAAAATGGCAAAACGGCCATTAGTGGCTAAAATAAGAAAACGGCAAAAATAGCAAAACAGCCCAGGTGGCCAGATGGCAAAACAGCCACAGGGGGAAAGAATGACAAAACGGCCACTAGTGGCCAAACTGGCAAAACAGCCACAAGTGGCCAGAATGGTAAAACAACCACTAGTGGCGAAAATAGCAAAAAGGCTACTAGTGGGCAGAATAACAAAACAGCCACAAGTGGCTAAAATGACATAACGGCCACTAGTGGCCAAAATTGCAAATGGGCCACCAATGGCCAAAGTGCTAACACAGCCACTAGTGGGCAAAATCGGAAAAAGGCTACTAGTGGCCAAAATCGCAAATTAGCCAGTAGTGCCGAGAAGGCCAAAACGGCCACTAGTGGCCAAAATAGCAAAACGGTTCAGGCTAGTAGCCGAAATTGCCACTAGTGGCTTAAATCGCAAATTGGTTACTATTGGCCAAAATCGAAAAATGGTTGCTTTTGTCCAAAATAGCTGCAAAACGCCCACAAGTGGCCAAAATGGCAAACCAACCACTAGTGGCCCAAATGGCAAAACGGCCACACTGGCCAAAATGGCGAAACGGCCATTATTGGCCAAAATGGTAAAACGGCCATTAGAGGCCAAAATGGTAAATCAGCCGATAGTGGCCAAAATTTGCAAATCGGCCACTGATGGCCAAAATGGCAAAACGGCCATTAGTGGCCAAAATCGCAAGGCAACTACTAATGGCCTAAATGCCAACACAGTTACAAGTAAGCAAAATGGCAAAACGGCCACTAGTGGCCAAAACCATAAGGCAACCACTAATGGCCTAAATGCCAACACAGTTACAAGTAAGCAAAATGGCAAAACGGCCACTAGTGGCCAAAATCGCAAACTAACCACTAGTGGCCAAAATTGCAAATGGGCCACCAATGGCCAAAGTGCCAATACAGTTACAAGTAAGCAAAATGGGAAAACGGCCACTAGTGGCCAAAATGGCAAAACGGCCACTAGTGGCCAAAATGGCAAAACGGCCACTAGTGGCCAAAACCATAAGGCAACCACTAATGGCCTAAATGCCAACACAGTTACAAGTAAGCAAAATGGCAAAACGGCCACTAGTGGCCAAAACCATAAGGCAACCACTAATGGCCTAAATGCCAATACAGTTACAAGTAAGCAAAATGGGAAAACGGCCACTAGTGGCCAAAATCGCGAGGCAACTACTAATGGCCTAAATGCCAACACAGTTACAAGTAAGCAAAATGGCAAAACGGCCACTAGTGGCCAAAATCGCAAACTAACCACTAGTGGTCAAAATGGCAAAACGGCCACTAGTGGCCAAAATGGCAAAACGGCCACTAGTGGCCAAAATGGCAAAACGGCCACTAGTGGACAAAATGGCAAAACGGCCATTAGGGGCCAAAATGGCAAAACGACCACTAGAGGCCAAAATGGCAAATTGAGTGCTAGTGGCCAAAAACGGAAATTGGCCACTAATTGCCAAAATGGCAAAACGGCCACTAGTGGCAAAAATCGCAAATCGGCCCTACTGGCCAAAATGCCAACACAGCCACTAGTGACCAAATGGCAAATCGGCCGCCAGTGGTCAATATGGTAAAACAGCCACTAGTGGCTAAAATGGCAAATTGGCCACTAGTGGCCAAAATGCCAAAACGACCACTTGTGACCAAAATGGCAAATCGGCTTCTAGTGATCAAAATAATAAAACGGCCACTAGTGACCAATAGAAATTAGCGGCTAATGGCCAAAATGGAAAATTGGGGACTAGTTGCCAAAATGGTAACTCGGCCACTAGTGACCAAGCAGGAAAATTGGTCAGAAGTGAAGCAAATCGGCCACTAGTGGCTAAAATGCCAAAACGGCCAATAATGGCCAAAATCGCAAAATTGGTTACTAGTGGGCAAAATGACAAATCGGCCACTAGTGGCCAAAATAGCAAAATTGCCACGTGGCCAAAATGGAAAGTTGGCCACTAGTGACCAAAATGGCAAAACGGCCACTAGTGGCGAAAATCCTAAATCGGCCACATGTGGCCAAATTGCCAAGACAGCCACCAGTAGCCAAAATGGTAAATCGGCCACTAGCGGCAAAAATTAATTGGAAATCGACCACTAATGGCCAAAATCCCAAAACGGCCACTTGCTCTCTAGATACTAACTCTGTTATGATTTAAGGACAAGGATATGAGTGCTGATTATGTCATTTTACTTTTCCTTGGAAAAATCAGGAGTTTCCTTGTAGGAAGTTTATGTGAAAAAAAAAAAAAAAACAAGTGAAAATGGTGGTACTTATTTTCCGTAGGTTTTCGGGATGTCATGCAGCGTTCTTACATGAAGCTTCTTTGAAGAAGTGTTGCGTGATATCCCATAGAAAGACACTACTTAACATTCAGACAAATGGACTCTAGATGATTTCTCCATAAACTTTACTCTCCAAAATGCCTGAGTACATCGAGTTCTTGTGACAAAGCTCTTCCTTTGCATAAAGTTTTTGGATTGTCGCACAACACCTCTACAACGCGACCATAACTCAGCTAGAGACGTTGCGTGACCATTCAAAGTAAATTCAGCGAAAGAAGAGCACTTCAGGATCCTATTTGTCACAATCAATAATATTTAATGTAAACATCAACACACACTCGTCCTTGGTTGTCGCCATCATTTTTGTTTTTGAGGTCCTCGCCACACCAAATGCGGAGCTCGCGATGTTTCTCCAAGTAAAATGGGACGCCAAAATTGGTAAAGACAAGCTCATCGGAGTATGATTCGTCCACCACGGGCATCGCATACCATAGAGATGACTGGTCTTTGAGGTACTCCTTCCTTGGATAGATGACATTGTTTCTCTGGTCAGTAACAATGGCGTTCAGGGGAGTTTTGCTGCCTGAATGACAGCCCCAGCGACTGTTATAGGCCTTGTTTGGCGTGCATCTGGAATACAGAACACCGAGTTATTTTAAATACAGCATGCATGTATATTTTTTTCGAGGTTCAAAGCCTCATTAATTTTCAAGAAGTTTTAGAGGACAAAGAGACGGACTTAAAATGATATGCCTAATTGATGTGTCCATGATGGCTTTACTCCTTCAGTAACACGCCATCCCTATTAGTATAATGCTTCGCTTTGATTGGTTTAAAATTTATGTTGTTTGATGTGCGATGATTAAAATGGTGGTTTATGGACCCAAGTAACCATGACTAGGGATGGCTGAAACACCTTGGTAGTTGAAGTATTGAGGAACGGTAAGGTCCTGACTTGGTTATTTGATGTCAAATCCATTTTCAGAATGTCATAATTTCTGGGAAATTCATAAACTTGATATATTTTGATTTTCAACAAGTATCCTTCTTGCTTCTGCCTTTAAGTTCCCCTACCGGATTTCGCCACTTCTGTAAACCAATTTCATGGCAGCCACCAAGCGGGGCTCGCGGAGGAAGTTGTATATTGTTCCATGACGGTCTCCGTTACACTCAAAGCACACATGTCGCAGGTTTAGTTGTGCCCACTCGAATGACTTGTTTCCTAGACAACGAAACAAGATGTTGTAAAGCTACTGTCTAAAGGGAAACTTTTATCTTCACAGTTATCTTCATATTAAGAAGAAAACTGAAACAAAAATTAATTTTTCAGCCCTATCGAGTGCTTCTTTCATTATAAGAGTTTTCCATATGAGGGGCAAGTATTGTTTATAAAAAATAAATGAATTAAATTATAGGATTGTTCTAAGAAAAAATTCTCCATAAGGAATTAAACCTCAGACCTTTGGATTCCGCGGACTACGATGCTCTACCACTGAGCCAAAAACACGCTATGGTCAGCAAGGCTCATTACGAATTTCATGATCTATGACACGCGTCCTGCGTATATATCCTGCTAGGATCGGCAATGTCGATTAGCGTCATGTTTTGTAAATAGAATAACAACGACGGTAAGTTTTTAGCTCGGTCAAGAAGTAGAGACAATTGAAATAGTGACAAGACGAAAAACAACTTTCTCTATTTCTTTAATAAAGGCTGATAGTTTCGAAAGAAACTGTTTGGGGCTGCGTCGGTGGGAGTAACGAAATAATTTGGATATATCAACAAAGTTGAAATGGTAAATTGGCCACCGTAATGATTACAAAAGCTGACGTTTCAGGCATGAATAAATTCCACTAAAAACATGAATAAACTCCACTAATTTATTCATGTTTTTCTCGTTGCCATGCACCCACCAATAACGTAGCTCCAAGCTCCATTTTCTGCCTTTAAAAGCACACACAACCCACAATTCCTCTATTCGCTCCGACGAAGGGCTAACGCTCGAAACGTCAGCTTTTGTAATCATTACGGTGGCCAATTTACCATTTCAACTTTGTTGATATATCCAAATTATTTCGTTACTCCCACCGACGCAGCCCCAAACAGTTTCTTTCGAAACTATCAGCCTTTATTAAAAAGCTAGAATATTAACAACATTTAGAACATAGCTAGCAGAACCGCGCAATCAAATTCAATATTTGTAAGCGTGCTCAAAATCCCGATAGTGCACGCTGCCAGCGTCAGCAAATCGCTTCGCCAGAAATTTTTTTTTCGCGCGAGCGGCCGATTGTTAGCGCGGGAAAAATAATATATTTCGCGACAATAATGGATACAAACAGAAACTCGGCCTACTAGTCCGAAAACGAAGACAATGTTTCGACCTTTTCCCTTGGGCTAGAGTTCTTAAATGAGGCAGAAAAAGAGAAAAACAAAGGAAAAGGAGACTCGGCATCAGCGCCGTCACGATTCGCTTCAACTGATATTGTTGTCCATTTTTCCCGTCGGATTTGATGCACAATTCTACCGGCTATGTTCTAAAACAATTGGTTCATGCTTTCAGCTGTGCACTATCGAGTTATGGAGCACGTGGGAAGTTTGGAGAGCACTCAAGAAGCTAGAGTTGCCCTCGGCTATCGCCTCGGGCAACTCTTACGCTTCTTTCGTGCTCTCCAAACTTCCCGCGTGCTCCATAACTCGATAGTGCACGCTAAAGCATGAACCAATTGTTAATTAGAACATAGCTAGCAGAGTCGCGCAATCAAATTCATTATACGTAAGCGTGCTCAAAATCCCGATAGTGCACGCTGATAGCGTCAGCAAATCCGACTTCGCCAGAAATTTTTTTTT